ATGATCATTTGGTCTTATTGCTTGGGACATGTTGCAGCACATCATGGCAGAAGCATATGGCAGAGCAAAACTACTTTATGTAAGCCAGGAAGTGAAGAAGAGAAAGAGGTTAGGGTTCCACAATCCCCTTTGCCAGGCCCTACACAGGCAATGAATGGCACCATCAAGACACCCCATTCTGAGTGCCTACCCACAATTCCTGAATAAGACCCCAAATCCTGGGTCATTCCTGCTAGATCAAAGAGGCCAGTGACCTCAAATTCTCCAATGAGGCCCCACCTCTCAAAGTTTCCGCCATTTCCCAATAGCGATAAGCTTGGGTTCAAACATTTAACACAGGGACCTTTACCCACACCATAGCAGCGTGTGCCATTCATTATCCCTCACTGTTACTAACTGGTTTGGATAGACTGAGATCCATGTTTTTGGCATGTTACCGTCTGTAAGAGAAGTGTGCCACACTATGCGAGAGCTTGAGGTCCTCAAGAGCCTTGGTTATCCTCCTTCGAGCTGGATTCAGGCATAATAGGCTATTAGGGGACACTAGCAGTGAAACTTCCCTTTCATTGCTAGCAAGGGTTAGGAGTCCTGCATGCACTTAAAATTTTTTTTAATTTGAAAATTCTAAGGGATTAATTATATTTACCGATGAAGCCAGGAAAGGTAAATTACAGTTGAGAAGATTAATGTTAGGATGGATGAACAGAAATAAATATTTGTAATTTGCAATTAGTTATGAAAATCAATATGACTCAAATGTTTCTAGTAGCTGGCAGATAATTTAAATGGATGAATATATGATTACTGAGGATTGTGGCAAAATGGGGTGCACTGGCCCTGATTTAAGACTATTAATAAACACCACCACCAACAACAAGAAACAAAACACACCATGTGGGCCAATTAATACCTGTTGAGAGCTAAGTTTAGCCTGGTCACTGCCAATCAATGGCAGCATCTTGTCTGAAATATAATATACAATATAGAACAAGAATGTTAGATTTTGCCTTATTATCATTCAAAGAGACAATACAAGAAGGGGAAAATTAATATGAACACTAAATGTTTTTAGCCCTTATATTTAAAGGAAAAAACAGGAAACTGGTTTTCCTAATTCCTAATATTGGAAGGATGATGGATCAGACTATGATATAACTACATAGCCATTCAAAACATAAAGTGCCAGAGCTTGGAAATGAACATGTGTCAAAATTAAGTGAGCAGTATAATTAAGTGTATGTGAACTATAATATATAACAAAGATTGGAAATGAATTTAGACCCAGATAAATAATTTGGTTCTTATCATATTTTTCCTGTCCAAAACAAAAAAAAAAAAACATTAAATTTACCACGAAGAAATAGAAAATATAAGCTACCATTACCAAGTCTATCAGGAAAATATCTCCTTGTCTTTTGGTTTAGGTCCAACTAAGCATGAGCTAGATTCCTGATAAGTTATCGCTTTGTCCTGGAAGTTTTGACTTTTGCCTGAACTGGATGGCTTAATGACTCACACCTGTGCACRTTGATATTTTATTGCCATATCAGAATTCTGCTTTTCTTTTCTCCTTTTCACTTTACTTTGTAAATCTGAATCTAAGGAAAGTAACTCCTGTCCCAACCTCCTTGAATGATCCCCCTCTTTGGTACTGTAACTTGTAAATCAAGGTTGAACCAAGTCCCTGAAGGGTATTATCCAAGCATTGCAGGTTCTCTTTCCTTTTTGGTACATCAGGAATGGTCCAGCCCTTGGGGACGCCTTGGGTCCTCACCGTTCTGGAATTGAGAGTGGGGTGTTATGATGGTACCATTCATTTTCTGTGTGAAGCCTCTAGGGCTTGGCCAGCAGCTTCTGCAGTGTGTGATGACCCAAATCCTTTTTCCCCTTTTGGTTACTCACCAGTATAATAAGGACTTCCGCTCCTCTTCTCTAATGATTCCTCCACACACGATCCATAAAGTAATGGCTGCTTTTTTCAGGAGCTTCGGGATAAGAAACAGACTGTGTCATTCAGGGGCTAGGGTGTGTGTGGTGCATTGGGCAGGGGTGCTGGCTGATTTTGTGCCTGTGGACTACCTTTATTTTGGTTGATGGTGACGTTATTTGGAGGCTCAGAGTGATTTAAATGAGTTCAGATTGTACTGAATCATGAAAACAAAAATAAACATTACTTCCCATGCTGATGTGGGGTAATGTCGCAGGTCAGCCATGGGGGTTGTGTGTGGGAGCTATGAGCATTTGAGTATGTGAGAGGACTGGCCTGGTTGCATGCTCTTTGGGCCATGTACACTTTCCTCTCACTCTGCCTGTCTTCTCACATAGCACCTGAGATGGGTCTGACTTGCCAAGATATTAATCAATCTGCTGACTGCAAGACATCATGAAGCTAGACTCAACCCCCTGAAACCTGACCCTTTGCCTCATTTGGAAAGGACATTCCATCGAACCTCCCTTTGTGTGTCCCCCATTATATAAGAATAAAGAATTCAGTGGCTCTCTCTGTTTCCAACAAACCCCTAAGGTCAAGAGCCATCCTGGATTTCGAAAAGGTATTTCTGTGTCCTTGCGTCCTTTCTTCTTTTTTTTATGTTATTGATGTAGTCAGATTTTGTGAACCCAGCATAGGTCACCAGCTCAGTTAGTTAGTGATAGGGTAAAATATATGGTGGGAATGGACTGATGCTCAGTGCAGCATCCTGATTATATTTACTGACATTTCATTTTGAACCGCTTCATCTTCATTGAATTTTCTAGAAGTTGCTCTATAACACTGCTTTGGTACAGTAACTCAACAAACATGGATACTTGCTCAAGGGATTTGATTTCCCTGTGCCTAGCTAGCTAGGCTTTGAAGTAGATAAATTTCTCTCTCTCTCTCTCACTCTCTCTATCTTTTGCTTTAGTTCAGACAAGATTGGTATTTTTACAAGGAACTTAATGGCTAGAGATCCTGAGTGTAATTGTGGAGTAACTTGATTGGCAGAGAAAAATTCTTAGGCCTATTTTCTGTTTCATCCCCTCTGACTTATTTTTAGACTTGCATATTCAGACTATATCCTGTGGGCATTCTGAGGTGGCACCAGTGTTGCTTGCTTTGTGAGATTCTTATTTTCCTTACAGCATGCTTTGTAGCCATCAGTGCTGTGGTTCCAGTGTCTGGTCTCTCAATGAACAAGGGCATTTCCTTATCTGCTCATAGCTAACCTCATCCCTTTCCTGGAAGCCTGGAATAAATAGCTTTCTAAATGTTCTCCCTAAATCCACTCTAGCCCATTTACAGTCCTTTCTCCACTCAGTGGTGTGAGTCATCTTTTGGAAATGAAAATCAGTTAGATGACCTTTTAACCTAAAGGTTTTTAATGACATAGCATTGCTTTTAGGGTGTCCCAATACTTTTCTCCTGCTTTCCATGGCCTTCCACAATTCTCACCAGCCTCTTCCGTTTTCCCCTTAGTCCTCCTTCAGTTCTTGGCTGACAGCCTGTGCATTCTTATCTCCCACCATGCATTGCCTTCTCTGGCTGAAGGTTCTGTCCCTTTCCATTCTTTAAGGCTATTCCTCACCCCTCAATTAGGCCTTTTTTTTTTAACCCTACTGTGTGAGCACATAACACTATGCACCTCTCCTCCTCAGCACTCAGGACTGTTTAATGTTTAAGTTTTTTGTGTTATTCTTTGATTAAGGTCTGTCTTCTACACAGGCCAGTAAGTTCCATGAGGCTGGGCTATGGCCTTTTCTTTCTTTTCTTTTTTAGCTTGAAAAGGGCTTACCATTAGCAGCAATATAATACATATTGTAGGTACTTACTTTTAAACACTTATCAAGGGCTGGGGTTGTGGCTCAGTGGCAGAGTGCTTGCCTAGCACGTGTGAGGCACTGGGTTCGATTCTCAGCACTGCATATAAATAAATAAAATAAAGGTCCTATAAATAAATAAAATAAAGGTCCTTTGACAACTAAAAGATATTTTTTAAAAATCTACTTATCAAATAACCATGACTAAACTTCTTGCTTCAATCTTCTGGAGTTTTATGGCTCTGAATTATGTAAGTAAGTTACCTTATCCACAATTCCTTACTAGCTAGCTTACTTCTATCCAAAGGTTGTACCTTGATCTGAGATTTTTTTTTTTTTTTTTTTTTTTTTTTGGTGTTCTGTTGGAAGGCATCTGAGTTTAGTCTTCTGATGATTGTATATGCATCCTTTTTGTCATCCTGGGTACAAATCCAGGTCCTACAAGATCATCCTGTTCTCTGACTGAAAACTTCAAAGTTCTGACCATCTCTCCAAGTTCTCTCTGGTKACCCATTCATGAGTCTCAATCTTGAGTATAACTCCAAGCATGTGATATACAGTGTTAGTGATAGCAATAAAGGAGACTGGCATTTTTCAATTTGCAGTAAGTAAGGATCCTCCATGAAAGTCTTCAGTGCCTCTTAAACAAGAGCTAAGCCCACTTGTCTCATTGCTGAAATTTGCCATTTGCTCTGCTATCATGAAGCAACTGCATTTGTAAGAATCTTACATCATCAAAATCTTGATGTAAAAACAATTGTTTGAACTAGAAAAAGGGGTTAAAGTTTGGATAATATCCAACCCATAATTCATATGTTTTTTTCCAGTGAAAGTTTTTTTTAATAGCTAAGAATGTATGAATACCTGCTGTTTGACTACATATAGCATTTGCTGTGCAATAATGGTGTTTGATTTCTTCATTTCCTACACTGTCATTAGCCAAAGAGCTTCCCACCATTCTATTTYCTCTGTCATGCATTGTTATAATAAATCAAACACTAAGCCTCCCAGATAAACCCACTGTTATAGGACCAGTTTCTCTTGGGCTAAGAGACTAGTTCCAGGACCAGTATAATAACGGTATTCCTAATCCAATTTGTTTAAAAAGCAAAACATAATACCCCCAAACCTGTAATTTTCTCAGATCTAGATAGTCTATATCAAACAATAACACTTGTGTGACTCCTCTCCCCCTGAATCAGGTGATGCAGGCCCAGTGTGTCAAAACAGAAACTGAATTCTATCGCCGCAGTCGCAGTGAGATAGTAAATGGAGAAGGCCACACCATGGGGGCACTATATTGGCAGTTGAATGACATCTGGCAGGCTCCTTCCTGGTCTTCTCTAGGTAAGTGTTTCAGTGTTCTTTGTGGGTGAGAGCGAAAGCAATACCTGCGGGGAGAGGGAATTAGAAAGCTCAGAGCCTGAGGGATCAGATTAACCCAAGCAGAAGTGAGGCCAAGGGAGGCTGTTCTCCACCAGGCTGTGGACTACAGCCACCCCACTCATCTAATGATCTGTCTCTCCAAGAGCCCTAGAGGTAGTTCATGAGTTGTGTTTTGTGAAAAGTCACAATAGCAGGCTGGTAAGGGATGGGAAGTCACAATAGCAAGCTAATAAGGAATATGCAAAGACCTCAGTCCTGTGTCTTACAATTATATTGCATAGAATTTTGAGTTTATTTAAGAGGACATTCCAGGGCCAAAGAGGCATGAACTTAAGCATCCCTTCTGAATTTAAGTGTCCCTTGTGCTATGTGAGAGAATTCAACCACATGGAAAAATTGGCCTCCTTGAGCATTAATGTGCCCATTTCTCTGACTGTGCTTTAAATTCATAAAATCATCTTCATTTTACCTTGTTTATTTTTGGGGGGAGAAGGTAGTAAAATACTAGCTGAACCAGTTCAGTTAGTCAAAGGTGAGAAGACTGGCATGGAACGTGAAGTTTGGATGATCCCATCTATTTTGGTACATTAAAAAATTAAGGAGAAATAATATATCTTTGGCCTTTACTAGAGGTGATTTGAAGCAAAGTTTAGTTTGTAATATAAACAGTTGTTTGGGTCAAAATTGAGGCAAGGCCATAGAATAAAAAGGCCATTTGGCTGGGGGAGGGTCTTAAACTGGTTATGGATGCAAATCCAAAAGGGTTCATTCCAAATGCTTTTATTAGTGCCAAATGGATAACTCCTACAGGGAATTGGATTTTTGATCATGTTTCTGTGACTGAACTCTTTTTATCAGCCCTAACCACATAAAAGAGTATTGAGTATGAATTGCATAGACTGTGAGGGAATGGCTGAGATGCTAGAAAGGTGGACAAAAAGATATTGTTCCGAGACACTTGGATGCTGACCCTGCTTGCTATCTGTGGAAGGGGCTGTGAGCTTCTAAAGCTGAGTTGGTTCAAGAAACAGGAGAGTGCAGCCTTTGGAAATCTTGCTTTAAATGGCTGCATGTGGATTATTTGTATGAGTCTTCAGGAAGGGTAGGTAGCTCCAAGTACAAGGGCATAAGGGCAGAGTAAGAATTTGGCTGTTTTCTAAATTCCAGCAGGACCCTTCCCGCATGGAAGGGCTCCTTATACTTATTAGAGAAAACAAGTACAGTTTAAGTATCTGAAATGATTGGGACCAGAAGTATTTCTGATTTTGTGTGTATGTTTTGTTCGTTTGGAATTTTCCTCTTGTGGTGTCATGCTGGAGCTCAAAAAGTTTTAGGTTTTGGAAAATTTGGGAGTTTGAATTTTGAGTTTAGGGATGCTCCACCTGTACCAGAGAGAGGCTGTGACTGTGTTTGCTATATCTGCTCCTGCTCTGGGCAGTCTCTTGGCTTCTGTTTAATTCTATTGAATTGGCTCAATAAAGCCCCTGCTCATAGTGAGCGCAACTGGGGGTTTGGGGTCATCTCTTATTGCCTGAAATGGTGATACTCTAAAGGGCTCCATAGTGGCTTAGAATCTGTAGGTTTGAATATATTTATTTAAAAATTAGTCTAATTTAGAGTTACAATTTTGCAAATAAAAAAAATCCACATGGGCATTTTTGCTTCATTCATAAATTTGAAAAGTCATAGAGCTAATGGCAAAGCCAGATATCACATGACATATTTAGGCTGTTAGCCAAACTTTAATACTGATTAGTAACATGGAGTGTATATCAGTGAGACCTGTTTCTTGAATTCCTGTTCTCCTGAGTGTATTCTGTTTGTGGCCTTGACCTCTGGAACTACCCATTTACAGTCTTTCCCCTGCCATGGATATCACACATCAGAGTGTATAGTTACCTCAGGAGCCATCTTTTACAAAGGAGAGGACTTTTCAAATGTGAGTTCTTGTTCATTTTATTTTATTTATTTTTGGTACTAAGGATTGAACCCAGAGGTACTTAACCACTGAGCCACATCCCCAGCCCTTTTGTTTTTTTGAGACATGGTCTCTCTAGGTTGCTTAGGGCCTAGAGAGAGTATAGCTTTGAATTTGAGATCCTCCTGCCTCAGCTTCTTGAGCTGCTAGGATTACAGGCATGCACCACCACACCTGACTCTTGTTCATTTTGTAGATCTGATAGGAAAACTTCTCTACCTCGCATGTCTTCCCACCAGTTGTTGCTATGCGAAAGTACTAACATTCGGGGTTATAGAGAATGAAATTTTGCAAAACTCCAAAGAAACTGGTTCTGTTATTCTTCTACCTCAACAGTTTGCACTATGTATCCGGGTGTTTCTTCCCTGGTGATTGTGCTACGTTCCAGGCTGTGTTTTATGGTCTTTACTCTTACTTTAGCAGCAACCCTGAAGTGTTTTCATCTGTGTTTTAAAAGTGAGAAAATCAGTTTAAAGAGGTTAAGCAACCAGCTCAAGGCTCTGAGCTAGGGAGCATTGGATCCTGGTTGAAATATTCCAATTTTGATTTTTTAAGTATAGTCTATTAATCACTCTATTCCCTTTGATTTATTGCTTCAAAGCAGCTTAATCATGAAATCTCTTTATAATTGCCAAGAAAAAATAGGATGATTAGGATTTGTTCTTACAAAAATTGTGCAACTGGAAAATTTTTGGTACCTGTCTAGCTGATTAAAAAAACCTCCCCATTCTTTTCTCCCTACACATACTAACTGACGATATTTTTATAGAAAGTCTCATTCTCTGTTTTTAGCAAAATTTAAATTTGTTTTATATTTTTAGATCATTGAGAAAGACTCCTTCACCCTTCTTCTTCCTCTTTTTCTCCCTGTCTCTGAAATTTGGTAATGTAATGTTTTCTGGGGAAGGGTCTTCATTCTGAAATGTCAAATGTTGAGAAAGGAAGATGTTAAAAGCTTAGGTTTTGGGATTTAATATACAAGACCTGCCAAAGAGACAAAGAATTTTACAGATTCTTGACAGTTTCTGATTGCATTTGAGGAACTGCTATTAATTGCCATTGGTCTGGATGTTTTCATCCAGTCTGACCTTGACACCACATTTGCACAGTGCTTAGTTTGGTTTGCTCAGAGGTTTTTGTGCCTATGGAAAAAGGAGACTTTGAGTTCTAAGTAATTCTTATAAATGAATATTTGCAACAGGTGTTCACTGCCAAGGCGACCTTCTCCTTTATGTGTTTGTGATAAAAAGGAAAATTGAGCTCCTGAAGCAGAGTTACCTGTACATGTTGTCTAGGAACCAGGCCTGGCTCAAAACACCACCTCTAGCATGTTTGAGTTCACTCCCAAGCCTCTGTTTCCTCCTTCGGAAAGTGAGTTATTATTGCCTGCCTCACTCAGATGTTGTGAGGGTGGTATCCAAAATGCCTGATCAGAGACTTTAACAAACTGGGGTTCCCTCCGTGGTCAACTCCCTCACATGCTCATTCCAGAAAATCCTGATGAGCCACACACAACTGGACCATGTGCACAAGGACGCTGAACGCTTGACCCTGCCTTCCCCTAACTCTCTTGATTATTTTCAGAGTATGGAGGAAAGTGGAAAATGCTGCATTACTTTGCTCGAAATTTCTTTGCTCCACTGTTGCCAATAGGCTTTGAGGATCAAGGTATATTTTATGTCTATGGTGTGTCGGACCTTCACTCAGACTCTAAAGTGCAGCTCACCGTAAGTCACTTGGATTTTTTTTTTTTCTTCTCTAAGATAAAGGAGGACTTTCAGATGATTATTTCTTTAGTTGTTTGGTTATATTGCTGTTGGGACCAAAAAAAGAGAGAATTAATTGTATCAAAATATTCTTAGTGCCTGTAGCAGAAAATGGGTTGCACTTGGAATCAGAAATATAGTCTGTTATTCAGGCTAAACCTGCCATTTTTATTACATGACTTTGAGCAAAACCCTGAACATCTTGATGAGTCCTCTGTAAAATGATACCAGCCTACCTCTTTTAAGGATTTCCATGAACGGTGGATAAAGGAGATAGATGAAAGCAGGTTATGTAAGTGTCAAGTGCCACATAAATGTAAGATTATTTATAATTATGAGGAGCAGGAAGTAGTCCAGATTTTGCAAAAATAGTTTAAAATGGTATGTTAAAAATTGAAGTCAGTAAAACTATCCAGAATGAATATGTAGGGGAAACAACAACAACCTTGTTTTTAAGACAGGGGTAGAAGCTCCATGTCTCTGGTGGCTACAGCTTGGAGGACACTGGAAGTAGGTCATATTCATAGAATCCTTGCAGTGTGCCAGGTAGTGCCCTTTCAGGGATTATTTTTTAAATTCTCACACCAACCTGTGAAGTTAGAGCTGTTATTATTTCCATTTTATCTACTGGCAAGTTGAATGACATGGTCACATAACTTAATGCGTCTGCGATTGACATTCAGGTCTCATGGTGTCTCAACCAGTTCTGTTCTTCTGACTGTCAGCTATGAGTACCAGGATTATTCTTGAAAAACATAAAAACCAAGAATGTTTTTATTGTTTTATTTCTCCCCAGGTGAGAATCCATGCATGGAATTCCCTGACACCTTTGTACTTCACTGTGACTAAACCTTTTGTCCTCAAAGCCGGGCAGGCTGTGTCCATCTATGAGCAACCAGTGAATACATTGCTGAAGACATGTGGGAACTGTACCCGCCAAAACTGTGTGGTTTCCTTTTACCTTTCAACTGACCGTAAACGCGTTAGCCCCACCAACTATCACTTCCTGTCCTCTCTGAAGAATGCCCAGGGGCTCCTCAAGCCCCAGATCACAGTAAGCATGACGGCTTTGCGGAGCGCCCTGTTCTTGTGCCAGCACATTGCATCCTGCAACTTGCCAGTTTCCTTCTTGGTAGTGAGTTGACCTGAGGCCTGGGGAAGATGGACTCCTTCCCACCAGAAGCAAAGACCAAATGAGTTTCTTTATTTCTAATTCAGGATTTGTCAAGAGTTTTCAGTTTCTGTTGCTTGTGCTGGCTCCTCATCCTTCCCTAGTGAGGCTGGCACAGTGGTGGGAGAGGAGGCTTTGTCCATCCTCACTGATTAACTTTCACTAGGTTCCAGGCTCTGTTCTAGGTACTTTGTTGCATGATAAACCTCTTAACTTTCACAGCAACCCTGAGGTGTGATCTTTTGTGTTTTATGAGTAAGAAAACCTGTTTAGAGAACTTAGACAACAAGCTCAAGGTCCTAAGCCTACAAAAGCTTGGAGCCCAGTTGGCGCACTCCAAATTTTGACTTTTTGAGTACAATCTATTAATCACTCCTCTTTCTTTTGTTTATTGCTTCAAAGCAGTTTAATCACTAAATCACTTTGTAATTTCCAGGGGAAAAAAAATAGAATGATTAGGTTGTGTTGTTACAAAATTTGTGCAGCTAGAGAATTTGGACTCTGTCTAATTGATTGAAAACCTTTCCATCTTTTCTTCCTACATATAGTAACAGACAGAATCTTTCTAGAAAGCTGATTCTTTATTTTTAACAACTTTTAAGTTTGTTTTATGCTTTTCATTTATTGAGAAAGATTTTTAACATTGACTTTAGAAATAGTGATATAAAAACACCTAGTCCTATGTTTTATTGAAAGAGCCCTGACAATTGAAAACATAGGTTCTTTTTGGATTTATAGTGAAATTTTCCATAATGAAATCTAAGTTATCTGTAACAACTGAGATAGAATAGACAGACACGAAAGAAATGACATAGCCAGGCATGGTGGTACATGCCTGTAATCCCAAACAGTTGGGAGGCTGAGGCAGGAGGATTGAAAGGTGGAGGCCAGATTTAGCAATGTAGTGAAACCCTGTCTCAAAACAGTGGGAGAGTGAGGGATGGGGATGTAGCTCAATGGTAAAATATTCCTGGGTTCAATTCCCAGTACAAAAAGAAAAAAAGAAAAATAAGTGACATAGCTTACATATCATTTCATCTAGCAAAGAAAAAAAAATACTGAACAAATTTGTCGTTTCTAAACTTATGACTCCAAAAACAAAAACTTTTCTCTTTTAGCTAAGGCCTTTATTTCGTAGAATTCATTGAGGGTACAAGAGAGATAGGGCTTCCTTATTTGTTTTTCCTGACTTGCATTTCAGTGAGACTTGTCCATCCTAAAGAGATAACAACAATAGTAATAATATTAGTTAACATTTATTCAGGCTTACTATAGGTCCTTGTTCTCCTGGTCTTTCTGAAGCCAGGGTACAAGCTTGAGCCTCTGGTTCTGCAGTCAGAGGCCCAGAGGTGAGATTTCCTATTAGAAGAAGTCAGCAAGAGTGAGCGAGGTGCTGTGTTGGGTCTGTTGTGACCTTGGCTTTGAGCAGCAGTAGCTAAGGCTTCCCTGGCCCCCTCTGAGTGAGTGTGTGGCTGCTTTAGGATCTTCACCAGGTACAACTTGGCATCTAACCTCCAGCCTGAGTCTCAGAGCCTCCTAGAGTTCCCTCATGCACTTTATTCAGGTCTTTTACTGCTTCTATCAATGTTGGTTTTCTTGTTTATAACTTGAACGATAATCATGCAAGTCCATGAAGCTGAACGATGTACAGTAAAAATTGTCTTTTGAAATTCTTTATGCCCCACACATATAATAAAGACTTTACAGTGTAGTGTGCATGCATGTTGAGGAGCCGTGTTCTGTGACAAATGCACAGCTTTAAAGACCAGGTCACATTTGATTCTTTGCTCTTCTGAGAAAGGCTCACAAGCCTGTGGCCTCTGGGGAGGGGCTCAACCTCTCTCTGGGGCTGATGCTCAGTCGGCTAATTAAATGGAATGGGTCTAGAGGATTCTCTCTCTCACTCTGTCTGCTGAAATTGTATAGAATTTGCACATGCTAATAATGTGACTTTACTAAAAAGACAGAGAATGGTAGACGTTTTGCAGTGGCTTGGCCGATTAGCTTCTAGAACGTGGGCCCTTTTCAGAAGGCTCTAATGTACACTCCATGGCCGCACTCTCTAGCTAGATCCCCATCTATTAAAATTACATGTGGTCATTAAAAATAGCCAACCCTATGCCAAAATGTTCCCTCCTTGATGCTCCTCTGAGAAAAATTATAAAATATATAAAACTTTGGGCCTATTTTGAAATAGTCTCCTTCACCAGAGGAGTCTGCCTGTTTCCTCGGTGTGAGATTACAACTTGGTAATGTTCCACAGACTTAAGTCATTTTCCAAGTGATGTTCAAGCATCTGAAGCCATGCATGGAATATATGACTTTAACAGTGGCAAAACGAAAGCACTGGCAACGTGCTCCCTACCAGGCCCTCGTTAAAGTCCTGGTAGACATTGCCATGGGCTATGTAGTTCTTCATTCAACCTTCACTTCATTTTTCTTTCTTTTTTCCAGGCCAGCATCTCTCAGCAAGATGACGTCTTTGTGTTTGCTCTGGAAACCTCAGCTATTGCTCCCTTTGTTTGGTTGGATGTAGGAAGCATCCCAGGGAGATTTAGTGACAATGGTTTCTTTATGACCAAAAAGACACGGACTGTATTATTTTACCCTTGGAAACCTACCACCAAGTATAAATTGGAGCAGTCTTTTCATGTGACCTCCCTGGCAGATATTTACTGAAGGAATCCGGCTGTATTTTCAGTGTACACTGGGAACAACGCCTTTCTTGAGCACCGGCTGGAGAGGAAGACAACCTGAGAGAAGCTGAGGAAACAAGAGGTGCATCTGCTCGTTCACATGCGTCTTGACACTCTCTCAATTGGTACAGTGCATACTGTCAGGGAAGGCTGTTCCTCCAGGGATGGCCTCAGACAAGGCTGTGCCTAGGTGTTCTTTTTTGCTGTTGTTGTTTTGCTGCTCTGTGGGTTGAACCCAGGGTGCCCTACCACTGAACTATAACCTCAGCCCTTTTTATTTTTTCATACAAATAATAAATGTTCTTAATAAAAATTGAACTCACCATTTTCCTGCCTTAGCCTCAACGGGGATTATAGACAGGTGCCACTGCACCTGGTTTAGGTATTCTTGAATCTGTGCCAGAACTGTTTAGCCCTTCAACGTACAGCTTTAGTACTAAATGAACCAGTGTCAAGCAGATTACCTTTCAGGGAATCACAAGAACATGACCATGGTAATGTCTACTGAGCCAAGTGTGGGAGGTAATTGTAGGCCTTTCATAGGTAGCCTTGAGAAATACTGAATTATTAAGATGAAGTGTTTTGTTATTATTTCCAGAGGAAATGGAGGGTCAAATGTCACAATAGAGATTTCTTGGTGGCACCCATATTGATTATTGTTGCTGAACAGTTTAGAAGGTTGATTGTTGGCATTTGATTCCTATTCTGGGATAGGATTTTTTTTTCATTTTGGGATTTGTTATAAAACAGTTTTAATAACTTATTTTTTAAAAGAATCCTCCTTTGAAAAATAAGCTCACATTGACATGGACATCGCTATGTTCATGCTGGAAATTTTGAGATATTGTGACATGGGGCTTGTGTGTGGGCTTCAGGTTTGGCTAAATTCAGTGAGCTTTCCGATTCAACAATACTGAATATAGACTTTCTGGCTCTGACACCAAGTGGTATTCCCTTTAGCTTAAGTTTAAATCAGTTTATTTATATTGATTACTTATAAGTTGCTATAAAAGTACTTTATGCCACATTATCATATCAATATGAGTATGTTGATAATAAAAGTACTGGAGCAAAATGTTAATAAGTAACTAAATTGGGTATAGATGGGTATGTGAAATTGTTTTGGACTACTTTTACACTTTTGCTGTAAGTTTGAATGATAAAAATAAAAGTTAGATAAATTGCACTGACAATTTGATAGCTCATCTGTGGCCTATTTAATCATTCTAAAATATTCCATTGTGCCCATTATTGAGATGGACACTAATTTCTGCTTGATACATGGGAGAATTTGAAGAATCTAAAAACTAAGATGTTTGAGAGATTTCTCTATGGAAAGAATCATGTAATTGGTTATGGAATGGACCAATAGTGAAGGCTTAGATTTAAAATTGAAACTCAATATTTTTTTATTTTTAAATTTTGATTAATTTTATTTTTATTTTATTTATTTTTTTATACCAGGAATTGAACCCAGGGGCACTTACCCACCGAACCCTATCCTCTGTCCTTTTATTTAGAAACAGGCTCTTGCTGAGTTGCTTAGGACCTCCCTAAGTTACTGAGGCTGGCTTTGAACTTGTGATTCTCCTGCCTCAGCCTCCCAAGCCACTGGAATTACAGGTGTGCACCACCTCACCTGGCTGGTTTTGGTTTTAAAACAGAAGTATTAGCTTCAGTAACTTGAAAAAGAATATAAATACAGATATTCCAGTCCTGTCCTTCAGTATTTAAGAGTTTTCTCATCTCTGTGCTTACACACACACACACACACACACACACACACACACACACACACACACAGGCTTATCAAGGGCTGGACCTGAGAATGGAAGACACTGTTCACTGTTCTTCATTAACCACGAAGATTCTATGACAGGGGCCCGGTGAAGTGGGCTTGGAAGTTGATGAACCAGAGTTTACATCGCAAATCTGCCCTTAATACTTCTTCAACCTTAAACAAATTACTTAACCTCTATGTTCAATTTTCTTGTCCTAAAATGGGAATATTAACACATATCTTGTAATTTCGTTTTAGAGAATAAATACAGTAACTTAGATGAAGGGCCTGGCCCCTGCAGGCCCTCAGTACGGTCCTACGCCTGGTGTCCTGGAGAGGGCAGAGTTTCCAGCCACATTTCTCTGGATTTAAATCCATGTTTTGAGACTTATTAGCTGTGTGATTTGGAGCAACAATTTGACCTTCTGGACTTTAGTTTCTTCCTCTCTAAAATGTAGATAATAATCCCTGACTGTCAAAGGTAGTACTGAGGACAAATAGGGTCTAGAACAAAATAAGTTGCACTTTTATTGTGATTGTACCTTTTGAAATAATCATTATAATCCAACTAGTGCATGAAGCAATGAAAATAAAGCAAATATAGATACATTCCTTCAGAAAAATATATCATAAAAGAATAATTTGTAAAAAGCAGAATAAATAGGCATAAACACATGCTGACAACTACTTATAAAAAGGAGAGAGGTGTGCCTACGGTATTTTTGAGAGAATAGTAATAGTCAAACTGTTCTTCCACAGTTCACATGTTACACGGTGGATAGTTACTGTTAGCATTTTAATAGATTTTTGTTGCCACATTTGCTGGAGTTGAATTTGATATGCTTACCCTCAGCCTTGGGTTTCTGAGAAATTTTTTGTTAGTAACTGTGTAAACAAGAGACGATAGACCAGGTTCAGGTCCTAGCTGTGTTCTTTCAAAGGACATTCCAGAGAGTGGAATAAAGAGAGGTCAGTTCACAGGATTATATCTTCCCATTCCAGGACAGGGAAAACAATAAAAATGGTAATTTCCTCATTCACATTCACTATAACTGTTATTCTCTCTTTATTTGACTTTTCACTGTGAGACATTTTCAAACCTTGGGAAGTCATTTGGAAAATACATGGAAATATTTTGTTCTCTATTGGAGTGAAGGTGAACTGGAGCGCAAGAGAAATAAAGATATGTTTCCCCGACTTTCCTCAAGTGACAAAGACCTGAAACAGAAAGAATATTCTCTTGGGCTGCCTCCAGCTCTCAGATATGAAACCTATTCCCCAGCTTGGTAAGATTTAGGGAAAAGAACAAGTAAGCATTGTTTCTGTGGGAAATTCAAAGCATTTGATAATATTCCAGAGTTCCCCTTGACTGAATGCAATCTTATCAATTCAATTAGCACAGGAAATTAAAAGGATTATGCCAAAAAGTCATTTAGTAATATTTCCAAGTGAATGGAAGAGTTCTTATTTTTCTCATTGATTTATCAGAGGTAGGAACCAGAAGATATACAAAATTCTAAAAGTCACAGACAAAACTGGTGTAAGATGCATTTATATTCAGACCCTAAAAACTGTTTACTTAAGATTTATTCATTCATTTTCAAGCATTTATTATGGATCACTGTTGACAAGCACTGTCCTTGTCACTAGGTGATGAGAGGAGAAGACAAGTCCCTGCTTTGGTAAACTATTCTTGTAGGGGAGACAGACAATAAGCCAGACAATGAATAAGGCAACTGCAGTTGGTGCCAAGTCCTATAAGGTTAAGATGATAGGGAGGGACAACCATGTTAGATAAGGCCATCTTGTTCAACACTTGAGGACAGCTGGGCACTGTAGCACATACTTGTAATTCTAGCGGCTCTGGAGGCTGTGACAGGAGGATTGCAAGATCAAGGCCAGCCTGCCTCAGTCTGGCTGGGCACAATTCAGAAGCCACTTGTCAAAAGAAACGAACTTTATTTTTAGAACACACACACCAAACCACACAGCTCTTCAGGAATTCCCTCAGAGCCCAACTGCCACCACCGGCTTCCCACAAGCCTCTCAGCCTCCCCCACTCCTCCTGCTCTTGAGGCTGATTGACTGGGTGGCGTGGACGGAGCCAAAAAAAGTCCCCCAATGAGCAGCTCCGTGGTCTGAAAGGGCAGGGAAACAGCCCAATGAGCATCACTGCAGAGGAGCCAATCAGTTGGCAGCTAGAAGTTTGCTGGCAGCTGGAAGTTTGCTGGGGCCCCTTCAGCTGTGGCTCTCAACACCAGCCTCAGAAACTTAGTGAGGCCCTAAGCAACTTATCAAGACCTTTTCTCAAAAAAATAAAAATAATAAAAAAGGGCTGGGAATGTGATTTGGTGGTAAAGCACATCTGGTTTCAATCTGTAGTAGCAATCAACAAAGCAAAAAGAAAAGGTGTTTTGGAAAGTTTATGATAAAAAAAAAGTTTAATTGATCAATGAGTCTTTAAAGACCTTCATTTTAATTAATGTATAAGACAGGAAAAGCGTAAGATCAGCTGCTCAGTGATGCAGGGCTCTGGGCTTGTGATGGACAAGCTGAGGGCAGACTAACTGCTCAAGACGTTGCTGAGCTCTTGAGTGAGGGCTAAACAGTAAATGGGCTTAGCAGAAATAAGGGCATTGCATCACAGTTTCAAGTTTTACAAATCTCTCTCATATCTGTAGATGAGTGTCACAGAACTGTTTCTTCGAAGAAAAGTTTGCAATGATAATATAGTTGAACTCCTTTGGTTGGTCTCAGTCTTTAAACGAGGTTTGTTGAGTTCCCCCTTGTGACATGTCATGCCATGCAGTGAGTAGTAAAAATGACTATGATGCCTAGAATTACCTAGAGCTCCCTGGAAATGGTACATTCCCAATCATGGACATTCCTATTACAGAGCTAGCTCGGATTCCTGCCTCATAATACATGTGGGAGCATCCTCTTCTTATTCTGTTATTGTTGTTCATTATGGATTTTATAAACTTCATTGGGTCCTGTCCCGTCTGGCAGGACACATCAACGTGGGCAGCGAACCTAGATGGGGAGGAATGAAGGTACAAGAGACACGAAAAGTGACAGCAAGACAGAGGTCTGATCAAGCTGCAAATTTTTATTGTTCACACAGGGGTATTTATATGCTGGGGATGAGGAAGCTCTCTAATCAGCAATTGCTGGATGTGGGTGGTAAAAGTGCCAGCTGCAAGATGTCTGATGATCCTGATAACCGCAGGATGTTCCAGGGAGATAGGTAGCTGCAGGATGCCTCTCAGGCAGGATGTCTCCCAGGGGGCTGTCAGGCTAATCTTTGAAGGAGAATTTCCTTCTAGTCCCTGACAGGGTCCTAGGGGACCATCCACACATTCCCAGTAGTTGGAGCAGCTTCTGCTGGCTGACCACCAGTCAGGTGCTTCTCTGCTCCAGCCTCAGGAATTGGATCATAATTTGTTCCACTTAATCCTATTCTTCTTTGCCCGGGATTKGTGT